TTGTCTGCAGAGCTTGTTAGGCTGACATGTAATGCGAGCAGGCAGGCTGTGGGCAATGCCAGCGCCCTTACCATGGGAAATCATGTTCCATCTTGTTAGGGGAAGTTTGGCCTGTGAGGACCGCTAATAATCACCCCAGCGACTGTCATGGCTGCAGACGTCCACCTGCTCCACACAGCCGGCCAGAAACACACTTATTATGTACTGTACGCACGTGCCACTGTGGCCAGCTGAAGACACACATGAACACACACATGATCACCTAACATCATTTGTCAATGAATCTCATGAAAACATATCCAGGTCACATTGATTTCATCCAAAAAGAAAGAAAGAAAAAAAAATTTGACATTACTTCCATGACAAAACACATTTTCCCCTCCAAATTGTCATTCTGTACACATTCAGACATTGTCATATCTTTAAATGCTCAGAAAAAAGGGTACAAAGCTGCCACAGGGGCAGGTACAAAGCTAAAATCCCTAAATGGCACATATCAGTTTCCCTAAAATGCACATGTTAGTAACTTTTTTGAGTGTGTGTGTATATATATATATACAGTGGGTACGGAAAGTATTCAGACCCCCTTAAATTTTTCACTCTTTGTTATATTGCAGCCATTTGCTAAAATCATTAAAAAAAAAATTTTCCTCATTAATGTACACACAGCACCCCATATTGACAGAAAAACACAGAATTTAATTTTAACTGTTAACTACAACTTTTGCCTCAATAAACTTCTAATTGTCTGCGTATTAATAGTAAGTTTAGTGTTAAGTTTAGGTATGGGGTAAGATTAGGGGATCTAAAAAAAATGCAGAATAAGGCATTAATGTGTGCTTTGCCAATATGTTAATAATAGGCATGCTAATAAACAAGTAGTTAATAGTACATGTTTTCATGTCAATAGTATGTTTTCACCTTTTGTAGTTATGCATGAGTCCCTCAATTGCCCTCAGTGGGAAAATATGGATCTCAAAATCATACAGTCACTGTTGGAAAGGATTCAAATATGCAGAAAGTGCTGGAAAACCAAAGAGCGTGCAGGAGCTGGAGGATTTTTCTGAAGAACAGCAGGCAATTGAACTGCTCAGGACAAACAAGGGACTCATGGACAACTATCTCAAAATATAAAAATAGTCGTGGATCATCCAGGAAATGGCACATGGTATTATGATTCAAGGGTATGTAAACGTTTGAATGGGGTCATTTTTTAATCATTCAGTTATTATTTTGAATTGTGGAGAATATGTAAACATCTATTATGTGAAATAGCTTATTCAGGACAGTACTAAATAAAAAAAATAACATGCAATTTTCCCTCTTATTTTGTTTCAATTATTAACATTTTGCACATTCTGCAAAGGGTATGTAAACTTATGAGCACAGCTGTGTATTCCTAAAGTGGACCTCCTTAGATACTCATTACTGTAATACATCATCCACCTTTGGATCTCTCTCTGTCTCGCTATCTGTCTTTCAAGCTTCATTTTACTGTTTCTCTCCAGCAACATAAGCCAGATTTTAGACTGTTTACAAGTCTGTTCCAATTTGCAGCTTTCTTTGGTTGTGACTGACATAGAAAACATAGTCAACAACTGTTCTGTTTTTATTTTTCCACTGAGAGTAATTTCATGAATCATCTGTGAGCAGAGAATCAGTAGCTGTATTGGACGGCAGGAAGCTGATCTTTTATAATTCACATTGGTCTGATCAGCAGACATGCACATGTTATCTCAGGTCAACTTCTGATTTATTTGATTCTTATATTGTTGTGTGTTTGTCTACCTCCACAGAAATAATGTCAGTAATAAAAAAATATAAATATATGGTGGATATATGGACTAAATGGAAATATGTGGTTTGGTTGGGCTGCTATTGAAATGAAGAGCACTCGCTGTGAATGTGTGTCTGGACATGCGTTCATCCCAAGAGCATTCAGTCTGGTTTGTTACTTGCACATTTTTGAATAAGACTAATTCAAGGACACAGTATGCGTCACATCTCTGGATCTCTACTAACAACTGCAACACAGTCTCCGCACAACAGTTCCACCCATCCATCCATCCATCCATTAATTAGCTTTTTTTTTTAAATCTTAATTAGCAACAGCAAGTGGCAATCTGAAAACCATGAAACTCGTATAATGTAAATCATATAGTAAAATATCTAAACTTGATGGTAAACAAATCTATTCCATTCTAGTATAAATTGCACCTTTAATTACTGCAAGTGTTTTACAACTTTAAAATTGTATATAAAACAATGTAATTATGTTTATTAACTTCCTCACAATAAGTAAACCTAACCATGTCATTAAAGTGAATTAGTTGCAAGTAGATTATACTTAGATGTGCAATTAAAATAATGTTAATTTCAGTTGAAATGGCTAAAAACAACCAAGACTAATTAGCATTACTGAGATTCATTGGTGATTTTCAGCTCCTTTCATTCTTTGTATGACTGGAAGAGAATATTTGTTTTTGCATAGTTGCAATATATCGTTGCATAATAGTTGGGATTTTGTTTTCTCGCTATAAAGATCTAATCAGATTCACCTTTTTTGACAGTTGTAATTTGTGAAAAACAAACTGCTTGGTCGTTCACATATTGTTTTATTATCTCATTACAATGTGAGTGTCTATGAATGTATTAAGAGATAAATAATAATAAATAAATAGCATAAAATAAACATTTTCTTATGCCTGTATCTATTTGTTTTAGTAAGTTCGATTTCTTCTGCATTCTATAGTTTTTTTTTTGTTGTAGTTTATGTTTTTCACAATCACAATAGATCACCACAGATGTTGGCCTGGTGTCATGGCAACAGCAAAGCACAATATGTTTGTGACCTTGTGCTCCATCCTCATTGGAAAAACAATGATGAATAGTGACAAATTATATGTTTGTCTCTGCCACAAAACAGACACCTGTTTCAATTATGTCCTGCTCTCAGAGTAAACGTTGTTGTGCAGAGGACAGAGGAGGGCATTATGGGTGTCAGCTGAAGGTACTGCTCATTAATTTGTAATAATATTTCACTTTTCTACTGTCATTTTGATCAAACAAATGCAGCCTTGGTGAGCAGAAGACAATTTTCAACAGGAGCGGTTTCTACATTAGGGCAATAGGGCGATGCGCCACCAAAGTGTGAAAGGAAGAGTTTTTTGTTTTTCCACATTCAACCTCAACTGTCACCATTCTAGACTGTTTGCTCTGCCTCTGGATATTGGTTCTTTGGAGCACCACCCCTTTTTGGGCAATTTCACTTTGGCTGAGAATCGGCCAGACTGTTCTTAGACTTCCATACAAACAATTTTATTTATTTATTTTCAGAACTGCAGGTGCTGCAATGCAATCTCTATGAGTTCCAGGAGCGTTAGCGCTAATGTGCTTTCATAATCATACGCAACCTTAACTTGTGCAGCGATTGGTGAACAAACATGCCTCTATTCATAAGGAATATGAAGTCAGGACTAGTCTGTATGGGCTGAATAAAGCAAACCAGTATCTAACAGTAAAGTTTTGATGGATGGTGATTGTAATGGAGGTGAAGACGATTACAGTGACCCACAGCAATCCTACAATATTAGACGGGCGAGTCCATTATTAATGTGCAAATAAACGAACCATGTATGTATGCTCTTTGATAGCTTTATGCATGAGCACATTTCAGTATGCTCGGATGTCTGGCAAGTGTTTTATAATAGAAACTCACTGAAGAAACATGTTTTTATAGGAGTTTGCAATGGTCAATGGTGTTTATATATGTACCTGACACAGGAACTGTTCATTGGTCATGTTGGCTGCCTTCAATCACCACATTCGACAAATTCAGAATATTTTAATTTACTGTTTTTTTATTTGTGTTCTGTTCTGTTTAATAATTCTGAAAGGATCTGTTAAGGCGGTATAGTGGCATCTCCGTGAGGTCCTGTTTGGTACAGTATGGCAGCTTGACTTGTAGTCCCCACTGCATTCAAGCAGGCTCGGGTAACCCCACTGCTCAAAAAAACCTACATTAAACACTTCACTTACAGAGAGCTACAGACCTGTCTCTCTCCTTCCATTCATAGCAAAAACCCTCGAAAGAGTTGTTTTCAACCAGATATCATTGTTTATTTCACAGAACAACAAACTGGATGCTAACCAGTCAGGTTTCAGGAGTGGCCATTTAACTGAGACTGCGCTACTGTCAGTCACGGAAGCCTTGCGGATTGCAAAAGCTGATTCCAAATCATCAGTTCTTATTCTGCTGGATCTATCTGCTGCTTTTGACACTGTCAATCATCAGATCATCCTGTCTGCCCTCTCATCACTGGGCATCACATGGATTCCGCTTCGCTGGTTTGAATCCTATCTCACTGGCAGGTCTTTCAGGGTGTTATTCCTTCTCTTTCTAGCTTGTACTTATTTGAACAATGTCTAGAAACTTGCTATTACAAGCACTTCCTGTATCTGTTTGCCTCTTTAAGAAGAATCGCTTTATGTATCCCCCAATTGTAAGTTGTTTTGGATAAAAGCGTCTGCAAAATGACTAAATGTAAATGTAGTTATTTATATATGCATAGAAAAACTAAAATGTATTTCATAATTTATATTTTTCCCTCAGTTTTTGATGTTGCACTGTATACATAAATAGTGAATTATGAAAATTAAAATAATAATAATAATAATAATTTATCTTGAAAAAAGCTTGCAGAAATTATTTTGTGGGAATCATCCTCAATCTTTGTTAAAAAAAAAAATTGCTTTATTTAAAATGTTTCAAGTCTTAATACTTTTCCTTTTTGTTATACTGCGATAAATCATAACGGGATGTATGCTGAACGTGTTGGAGGTGGTGCCTTATAGAAAATTGTCCACCAGGCGCCACTGCTTTTCAAAGGCATTAAAAATTCATAAATATTCTAAACTTAATATAAAATGTTTTTGAGCGTTACCTATTTTGTTTGTTAATGATATTTAATTGTATTTCTCTCCTGTGTTTTTTCTTTTAGGGAAGAGGCCATCATGTCTACATATTTTGAGACGGTGGACGATCTGCTCGCGTCGTTTGGTCCAGTGAGGGATTGCTCTAAAGACAACGGCGGATGTCGGAAAAACTTTAAGTGTGTTTCAGACAGAAGGATGGACTCGACTGGCTGCATGGTGAGTAGCCATAGTCACATATCATCTAAAATCGGCCTGCTTGATGACTTGCTGAGCTCAAACTATCTGAAACATGGCACAAGTGAAGGCTGTTGAGTCATATTGGCATCCTGCACTGAGACTATCAAGCTCTTATTCCAGGAGAACAGCATTCTGACAAATACGTTTCATTACAGGCAGATAAGTTTGTCTCGTGTTACATGTGCAGATTTAAAGGAAGGAAATGAGAACAAGGAAATGTGGTTAATGGCTTTTTTTGGGGTGCGATGTGCTCAAAGCAAGGAAATTGATGAGCTCACAGCACTCTGAGCTGATGGATGAATCAATCATACACAGCACGATGAGCCTTAATCACTCACACATTTATTAAGAATAAAAGTCTGACACTGATCTTGCAGTCTGATCAGCTGCATTGCTTTAAAAGAATAGTTCACCCCAAAATGAAAATGCTCTTATCTTTCATTAACGCTCGAGTCGTTACAAAGCCATTTCTTCTGGGGAACAGAAAAGGTCAAATTTTGATGAATGTCCTAATCACTCTTTTCTTTTGTAATGAAACATAAGACTGTCAAGTGTCAGATTTGCCATTAAAATGATTGGTTCTTATGTCATCATGGATGTCAAAAATAATCGTGAAAAATAAACTAAAAAGTAGCAACAAAGAAGTGTGCTAATTGTATTGAATGTGCACGTGTAGTGTACTTTAAATCTCATAAGTATATAAAAAAAACAACAACTGTATCTCGCATATGATGTACTGTTGATGAAATAAAAGTTCACATAAGTGTAGCCTACTGAAAATTATGTAATTAATTAAGGTCCTTGCAAACGGAGTCCGACATTTTATCGTATTTGTCATCCTTAAATTTCATCACGCATGAAAGTCTTCAAGCAGTGAGGATAATTTTGTTGTCCTCTCGCTTCTTACAAACAGGAAAAGAAAGGAAATATCGGGTCCATCCAATCCTGAGATATAGAGAGGAAGGAGAGCTCCCCCTCATTATTAAGGAGCAGCGGGATTACCATGGGCAATTCAAAGTTTACTTCAGGATGTCAGAGGCTCAGTTTGATGCTTTGCTAGCGATACTAGAGCCAGATATTAAAAGACCACCAATTTCTGTGAACTCACTGTACAAGGATCTTTACAGTGCTTTGTACTGCGTGACAAAGTGGATGAACTTGACAATCGCCATTCTAGATTTTGGCGTTAGCTTGTATGGTGGCTCTGAGTTGTCAAAACATCACTCAAAATGCTTGCTACTGATGCGGAAAAATGCAAAAAATCAAACCCGATTGGAATTTGTTTATGATGAACAAAAGTTTCGGAAGCAGTGTGTAAACGTGATTGACACAGTGTCAGCTCGTATAAATTTTTCAACGTGCGAAAATTTCGGACTCAGTGTACAATGGCCTTTACTCATCCTCTTGTCGTTCCAAATGCCAGCTCATGTGTCAGCTGTTGTGAACGCGCGTTAAAGACTGACACAGAAGAGAAGAAATTGTTGGATAAAGTTATTTTTGTTTTTTTGAACCATTGCTGTTACATGGACTATTTTAACGATGTGCTTACTACCTTTCTGGTCCTTGAACGTGGTAGTATTGTTGCTGTCTATACAAGGTCAAAAAGCGCTCGGAATTCATCAAAAATATCTTAATTTGTATTCTGAAGATGAACAAAGGTCTTACGGGTTTGGAACGACATGAGGGTGAGTAATTAATGACAAAATTAAATTTTTATGTGAACTATCCCTTTAAAGAAAGTACTTGATTATATATTAGCTGTATTGTTTGATATTACATGAAGGCCTTGTTTACACTAGTGCGTTTTCGTTTTAAAACAGCGTTTTAAAATGAAAACGATCCTCGTCTACACTGGCTTTTCCACTGCGTTTCAGAAACAATCTCCGTCCACACTACACAACTGAAAATGCATGTCACATGACCATTTATGCAGGTGCAACCATAGATTTGTATAGGTAGATGATCTATTATTTAGATGACAGATGCGTCTACGTGCTTGGAGCGGTCGAATGGGTAATCTACCTATACACATCTATGGGTACAACCATGATATTGTTTACACGGTCATCAAGGATACGCAGAGCGAATGTCGGCAGCCACACCATCGTTTTCAAAAGTCTCCGTTTTGCTCGGTTTACACTGAAATGCAACTGCGGAGTTTTCAAACTAAAGCAGGGTCTGCAGTGTTTTCAAACATCTCTGTTTTCGACCTCAAAAAAACGCTGGAGTAGTGTAAACAACAGGCATAACCGTTGCAAAAGTTATGCGTTTTAAAATGAAAACGCACTAGTCTAATCAAGGCCTAAAAGTGAATAATTTCTTTCTTTAAATATATATGCTTTTAAAGTGTATTGTTTAACTAATACGTACTTTTTTGCTAAAGTTCTTTTTCGCAAGGGGCAATGCGCCTAAAGCCCTGTTTACACCTGTTATTAAGATGTGTCACAAAAAAAAACATGTTGTAAATGGTGTCCAGAACATCTGAACATTCAAAAACATTAATGTGATTCTGACTAAAATTACAGGTAATCTACAGATCTAAGATGCATCTCCTTGGTTAGACAGTCGCTGAAACCAGGTTTCTCATCTCGGTTTACCCTGACCTGAAATAACCTAAAAGTGACATAAAGCTTTCCTGGTGACAGGAGGTCCTTGTTCATATAGACTTCCATCATGTACCATTGGAGAGTCAAGTGAAAAGATAATGGCAAGGATGTGACAAGTCCAAGGTGATTCGGTACGGCCTGTTTGAGCCTCTCAGGGTGATGGTAGGTGACAGCTGCTGATTTTTCCAGCAGAGCGGCTCACCCGCTGTATGCTGGTCCTGGAGCAGGAGGCAGAAGGAAACCAGACTGTGATGAATGAGGCTCTCCATGATGGATCTTTAAAAGTGAAGCAGGATGATGGAGCATTTTCTGTTGCCTCAGAAAGAGCTTTCTCTGTCTGGCTTTCCACATCATGGCAGTGATGTTGTACTCTTGTGTGAGGTTATGATGTTCTTAAATTATTTATTTCCAGAAGTAGGGGTGATGTTGGCTCTTCTACAGTCTATCCTCAACAAATTATTGACAGAACACCAGCCAGTCATCTGGACTTCATCTCAGTCATCTCTATATATTAGTGGCCCATCCATAGAACTTGCCATTGGTGGTGTACAGTCATTAGTCTACAGTAGCTACATTTACATGCAACTAAGCTTGAATTTGACTATCTTCTCAAGTTTTGTTTAGAATACATAGATGCACATGTAAACAGTGCAAAATTTAGGGTTCATATAAACAGAACATTCAGAATCTGAAATCAGATTGGATTCACAATTTACGAAATTAGTGCATGTAAACATACCTAGTGAGGTACAGAGAGAGGGACAGGACACAGTATTGAGGGGCACCGATATTTGTGATCTTGGTTTGCTTCTGCCTGAACAATTTGCTCTCTGTCCGTAAGGAAATCAAATTGGCAGACGGAAGATGGAGTCAGTTTATGATGGAGAAAGTACTTTACTGTTACAGATGTTGGAGCTGTAATTGTGTCTTCAGGACTTGGACTAGACTGAAAGAGAGTACTAGAAGTGGACTTTCTGATGCTCTTGTTTCCACCTGGTATTGTATTTTTGGTGATCAGCAAAGACATGGTCAGTCGTGACACTTTGGTATTCATATTTTCTGTCTCCTTTAATCTCTTGTGATCAGATTTCATAGAGACCCATAAAGACCCCACATCCTATTGATATTAGTACATTCAGATTGTTTGTATAAATGTGCTCTTATCAAATGGACTGGAGAAGTAATCCTTGAAAGTTTGCCATTCCATTTCTATTATGCATTGTTGGCTTTTAGCAAACCTTTATTATTTAAAACACATGAATAACAAATATGACCCCCTTCTTCTATCTGTATTTCTGTATATAAAGTACACATAGGTAATGTAGTGGAGGGCTGTAAGCTTAGCAGATGTTGTTGTCTTTTGCATTCGGTCTCAGACTAAGGGCCAGATATACTAAACAGGGCAAATTAGCATGATAGTGCAATTCCATAAAAGCACAGATGAGAGTAGAAAGTTCTGCATTTGCGCTATATGACGCTAGTAATGTAGACAAAAACTAATGCAATTGTAGATTACTTTTTTTTCATTTTTCATTTCCACTGAAATTTTAATTAGTCTGGAAAGGGACGAACTCGCATTTAAAAATGTCCAGTGAATGTAAGGCTAAATGTTATATTAGTAAAAAGGAAGCGTTATTATGGATCATGGGCTTGCATTTTGGCCAGAAGCAACCATTTAAAGTTAAAAAAGTCAGGATAGATTTGTTTCTTACAACCACACAGCTTTTCTCTTCTCAGGATGTTAATTGATGGACTGGAGTGGTGTGGATTGCTTGTGGGGTATTGTGATGTTTTTATCATCTGTTTGGACTCTCATTCTGACGGCAAATTTCCACTGAAATTTTAATTAGTCTGGAAAGGGACGAACATGCATTTAAAAATGTCCAGTGAATGTAAGGCTAAATGTTATATTAGTAAAAAGGAAGCGTTATTATGGATCATGGGCTTGCATTTTGGCCAGAAGCAACCATTTGAAGTTAAAAAAGTCAGGATAGATTTGTTTCTTACAACCACACAGCTTTTCTCTTCTCAGGATGTTAATTGATGGACTGGAGTGGTGTGGATTGCTTGTGGGGTATTCTGATGTTTTTATCATCTGTTTGGACTCTCATTCTGACGGCACCAATTCAGTGCAGAGGATCCATTGGTGAGCAAATGATGGAATGCTACATTTCTTCACATCTGTTTCTGTGAAGAAGCAAACTCAACTGCACCTTGGATGATTGGCATCATTTCCTCACCCTGATGTTGTATCAAACCCATAGCAATGGTGGTTTTTAAAGTACGTTATTTAGATTTTTTACATTGCTCAAAGAACAAATCTGAAAGATGTACAAAGAACATTGGCCTTACATTGAACGAGTAATTGCATTT